AACGCGATTTGAACATTGAATTAACACACAAATGAATGTTAAATTAAAATGTAATGCAAAATTGTTCTTTGTATCATAAATATTTTCAATTCAAATTAGATGGTAGCCAGAACTTTCTCCAAGTGTATGCATATAACAATAATCAATTAATAAAAAATAACTTAAAAAACTTGTGTAACAAAATCACGAAGTTCTTTGTATGCGTTGTTCCATTATCGCAAATTGAAATGAAGTCTAAATATTAAATTTTCCAAATTTTAAAAACTTAATTCAATTCAAAGTGTTAATATATGAAAACTGAATGGAAGTTATTATGCATTATTTAAAAATCTTCGTGATGTGATAATTTTAAAAAAAAACTCCTCTAAACCCTCTGAATTTCAAATACGAAGATCGAAGGTTAGGGCTTATAATAGCACATACTTGTACTTACTGCATATCTAAAAGTAAAAACTTTCAAGTCATATTCATTTACCCTACCTAAACCCACGTCAAATTCTAAAATTCGAATGTTTTTGACTTACATTCAGATTGGGTGGTACACTCATGGTCGGATTAATTTTTTCCATCTCCAAAAACAGTATTCTTTTTACAATAACATAAATAAAAAAAGCTTACATAGAAAACGATTACAGATGGAAGTCATCTATTTATTTAATCTATATGAATCGACCAAAACTGAAGCCAATTCCGATGGTTGGTGCTTTAAGGTGTAAAATAGCTTATTTGTTAATTATGGATTAAGATTAATTTATCATTTAAAAAAGAAATACATAATTAATACTTAATCTTTGTTAAGTTTATATCTGCCTAATTATTAGTTTACCTCGCGTTTCCATTAATACTTATCACATTTGAGAAAATGAGTTTATTTCTAAAATATTTTTTAACATATGTGTTTCAAAGAAGTTAATAAATCTTTTTTTCCATGTTTACCCTTATATATGGCTCAATATATTACTTTCAATTTAATCAATTTCTTAGAGAATTAGTATTAAATTGGAATAAATATATTCAATTTAGTTCAATAATATTGTTAAGTTAGACAAATTTAATGATCTTTCTTAAGAAGGAAACGCTGGAATTTAAATGTGATTAAATTATGCTATAGAACAAAGGTTAGTAATTAATATTGATGTTATTAATTGCGGAAGTGAAAATTTTTTACAAGAGTTAAATGAATTAATAGTATTACATTAATGATAATTGTTAATTGTGAATTAATTAAGGAGTCATTTAACGCCGATTCATTAGATCGTCTAACTCAATCCGGTGGCAAATTGAAGACTTTTAAGTGCAGTTGGATTTGCCAGAGTCACGCGTTTTAATAATGATTATTACGATAATATTAAGAAATTTATATTATAATTATCTTAATAATGTTATAGAAAATACATTCTTTTATTATTATGATAATAAAATTTTTTTAAAAGTATAGTAACATTTAACGTTTATGAAAATTCTTTAAAAGATTATATTAGAAAATTCAATATGTGCCTTTATTTGCCTGTACGATAGACAAATTCCTTAAAAATTGAGTACAGCCAACAAAATGCATGTTCGTTAAACATAACAACTTAATTCTAATAATAATGAAATAATGAATAGTACCTGCCGCACCAAAAGGTAGTCCATCTTTTTTTTTAATTTGTCTTCAGATATTATAGTCTATTTTTCCTTTTTGTATTCTGGTAATCGCATAAATTGTCTACTAGTACCTGTTATTAAAATTTTATCTTATTATCGATTGAACCTTCATTAATTCTTACTTATTATGTTCTATATAATGGAATTTACTCATGTGTTTATTTTAAGATGAGCATAAATTGCAAAAAGTTATATCATTAAAATGAGTCTTTTAACCATACTTTTTTAATCTGTGTTGAAAATAAAAGGTGGAATATCTTCTTTTGGTGGTCGGAGGAGTAATAATAATAATATAATAAATTAATGGATACTTCATTCCGTTCTTTTATTATAGGAAAGTTTCCACTTTTTAGATGTTTTTTTTAAAAAATTTTTGAACTAAATTTTTTTGAATGGATTCTGTTTATCCTTTTTATATAAAAATTTCTCCTAATTTGATAATTTTGGGAATCATGTAAATGTTGGAAAATTTTCACCCTTGTTTTAGTGTTTTTTTGTTGAAGCTTTTAGTGTAATAGATTTTCAAAATAGTGCAAACAAAAGTTATTAGCATGAGCATGTTAATGGTTAAATAAATTTTTGGGAGAATGGATTTTTTATGATCAATAGTCATTGAAAAGACAAAATATGCTCGTATAAGGTTATATGAACTTCGTTGAATAGAAAAAGGCCCATAAAAATTTTTTTCAAGTCGACCAAAATTGAAAATAATTTCTTTACCTAACTTCACTGAATAATTTTAAAGAAATTGTACAAGTACCTAGTATGTTCAATTAATCAAAGGACAATTGGAAGGTTTAAGGATGAAGCAAAAAACTTTCGGTGATTTTACACAATTTTTCCGAAAGTAAAGGACAAAAATAAATTTCTTCTCCACAAAACTCAAAGCAAAACTTGTATTTCTACTTTCTTTTTGTATTTCTCTTCAGTTCAAAGTATTTAAAATTTCATTGAAAAATTGAATATTAATTTAAGCACCATGTTATTGATATATTTAGAGGATGCTAAATGATATATTAAGATTAAATTAGGAAAAAGAATGGCAAAAAAAAATTAATTTTAAAACTACTTTTTTTAATCTTTGGGTGAAAAAATTAATTGTTTCTATATATTAAAAAAAAAAAAAAAAAAAAAAACCGAGGAAGTAATTAAGCAGTGTCCTGAAAAAAAAAAAAAAAAAAAAAAAACCGAAGGAAGTAATAAGCATCCTAACAGTCACAATAATTATACTCCCGCTGTGGAGGCAAAATACTTGTTTTCCTTAAATGTGGTAAATTTTGATTAAAGGCCGTTGATGTGGTATGTCTAAGTGCCAATGTATGTGTGTTAAGTTTCCGCTTTTGTTCTTTTTGTTTTTCTTTCTGCCCTTGTTACCCCTCAACTTAAACATCAAATTACATATACTACCCTCATCCATTACTTGTACGCAGTACACCTCAACTTCTATACCGTGGCCCACTTAAGTGATAAACAAAGTCCATACGTGTAACGGTTCGTTCCACACATCGGTCCTCTTAATTTTACCATCCTCTTGTTTTACATAATATTATGGGGATGGTCAAAATTTTGACATCTGTTTTAGTATATATATATATATATATATATATATATATATATATAATATATATAATATATTATATATATATATATATATTTGGTTTAATGTCAGTGGGTTTTATTAGGTGGAGCGGGTGAGATTTATAATTGAAAAATATTGAAAGTTCTTAAAAAAAAGAAAGAAATATTTGAAATATATTTGGTTTATGTCAGTGGTTTTATTAGGTGAGCGGGTGAGAATTTATAATTGAAATATTGAAAGTTCTTAAAAAAAAAAAAGAAGAAATATTTGAACGTTAAAATTTCTAGGCCTTCGAAGTGTATGTCAACGAAGTTTCAAAAATAATTTTAAGAAAATCGCAAACTCAATTCTAACACTTCGTCCTCTCTTTTTTTAATTCGATATTTTTTTTTTATTTCATTTGGATTAAAATTTTAAAAAATAAAAATAACATTAATTATTTTATTTTAATTTTAATTTTATTTAAGTATCTGCATTAAATTTTATTTAATGAATATTAATTAAAGGATAATTTAATTTTTTATCTTTACTTTTTTTCTAAAATTAAAATAGTTCAATCATTTTCTTAATTCTTATGAAAAAGTTAAAAATGCCAAATTTAACATAATGACTAGAGTAGAAATTTTAGTTTTTAATATCTGTTACCAAACTTAATGAGAAAAACTTAATAACACTCTTAATTTTTGTAATGGCCCATTAAAAACTTTAATTGAACATAAATTTTACATAATTTTTCAATTATTGGATGGATATTTAATAAATGTAATACTTTATACGTCTTTTGACATAAAAATGGTTAAATAATAGCCTTTACATTTTTTAATCATTATAAGTACAATTTTATAAACTGAATATAATTTTATAAGTCGAAAGATTTAACAGATATAATTTTATAAAGTTGCGGCTAAACATTTCTTATAAAATTCAAATACTAATATATGCATTTTGCCTATTAATATCATTAAAAGGGATACAGGTTTCTCAAAACTTTTATGGATAGAGTTTTTGAGGTTTTTGAAAGTAAGACAAGGTGAAAATTAAGTTGTTTGGTAAGATGATTTGAGAAAGGGGATTATAAGAGGAGAATTGAAGAGGTTTTCTTATGATTATTTGAAGGGTAGAAAATCCCGCAAAATCATCCATTTTCTCAACCCACTAAATTGAATGGTTAAAAAAAAAAATTAAGAACTTTACTTTATAAATAGAACAGTTAATAAACATAAATTAATGTTTCATTAAAAAAAAATTCTAACTAATCTATATGTAAAAAGTATATCTTCATAATCTTCAACATTATTAAACTTTCATTTGTTAACCTTATTTTGAAACATGAAAAATGCCATTTAACTTACCTTATTTTACTAAAAAGCTTCCATCACCCATCTAAACAAAGCCTTCAGTGAATCTTTGTGAATGCTGCAATGAAAAGGGATCCATGTGGAGAGAAAGGGAGACAAGAGTGTGAACCAGCATAAATCTGCTTTACCTTAAATAAAGATATAAAGAAGAGATGTGAAATGTTGCTGTTCAGGTAGTTAACCTCTAGATGATGTACCAGGAAAAAATTTGAAATCTAGACCAATAATTCTCAAATAAGAGACAAAATTGCCACTATTTATGATACTCACTTCAATTATTTTCCACCTTTAAGTCTAAATTATTAGAATAACCAAAACCAAAACTATTAACTATTTTCAAGAAAGGGAATTAAAGACGTGTGAATTTTAGCAGCAGAAGCCAGTAAAGCCTTGCTATTTAAGAAGGAAAGGTTCCAGCTACTTATATTGTTTTTCCAATTTTAAATAAAACAATAATATGATCAAACATGAATGCTTTAAAAAAGTAAAACAGATGGTTCTTTCTACATTATTTCCATATGCATTTCTCTTCTTTTTTAGTTTGCTGATCATACATTGCTTTGCCAGAGATACAATAACCAAGAATGGTCCTATCAGTGACAGCAAAGGCGAAACTCTTGTTTCTCCCGGAGAAAAATTCGAACTGGGTTTTTTTACTCCTAATGGAAGCACAGGAAGGAGATATGTTGGGATTTGGTACTACAAGTTAACTCCACTTACCGTTGTTTGGGTTGCAAATAGAGAAAGTCCAGTTTTAGATAATACTGGAGTTCTTTTCATTGCAGAAGATGACAACATTAAGGTTGTGGATGGAAAGGGAAGGTCTTACTGGTCAACGAATCTGGAAACAAATTCTTCTATGGAAAAGATATTAAAGCTAATGGATACTGGAAATCTTGCTTTCTGCGAAAAAGATGAAAGAATTGTCTGGCAAAGTTTTGAAAATCCAACTGATACATTTCTTCCAGGTATGAAAATGAAACAAGATATTGAATTGGTTTCCTGGAAAAGTTATGATGATCCAGCATCTGGGAACTTCACTTTTCAATTAGATCAACAAGGAAACCAGTTTGTTATATGGAAAAGATCGATTCGATTCTGGACAAGTGGAGGATTAGTTTCAGGTAAAGTTGGGAGTTCTAATGAGATGTCTTCTGCAATATCTTATTTCTTGTCAAATTTCACCTTAAATGTAGTTCAAAATGATTCTGTGCCTTATATCACATCGTCATTGTATGTTGATACGAGAATGGTCATGAGTTTCTCAGGCCAAATTCAGTACATGAAGTTGGATACTAATAAGATATGGACCTTGTTCTGGGCAGTACCAAGAACAAGATGCAGTCTTTACAATGCTTGTGGAAATTTTGGTAGCTGTAATAGTAATAATCAACCAGTTTGCAAGTGTTTGCCTGGATTTCAGCCTATTTCGCCTGAGTATTGGAATTCTGGAGACTATTCAGGAGGATGTATCAGAAAATCACCATTATGCGCTGGAACTGCTGCAAATGACTTGTTCTTCAACTTACAGATGATGAAAGTAGCAAACCCAGATTCTCAATTCAGGGCCAAAAATGAAATCGAGTGCAAGAATGAGTGCCTTAATAATTGTCAATGCCAGGCCTTTTCATATGAAGAACAGCAAGGAGAATCTGCTAGTGCTACTTGTTGGATTTGGTTGGAAGATCTTACTGATCTTCAAGAGGAGTATGATGGTGGCCATAAACTTAACGTGCGAATTTCAGCCTCCGATTTAGGTAAAGCCTTGTCCCCAACTGAATAAACTTAAGTTTTGAACTGATTTAATGGTTTAAGTCTTCAAAATTTTTACTTGTGCAGACTTAAGTTCAAGACATTGTGGGACTTGTGGCACAAATATGATTCCTTATCCTCTTAGCACAGGGCCTAATTGTGGAGATCCCAATTACTTTAATTTCTACTGCAACAATTCCACAGGGCAACTTAGTTTTCAATCACCAGGTGGAATCTACAGAGTCACCAGAATCAACCCAGAAACACGAAAATTTGTCATGCAAACCAAAGATGCAGATAGTTGCAAGGCCATAAAATCAAATGGGAAACTTTTACAGCTCAGTAACTTATCACCATTTCATGTGATTAAGTGGTGTAATGCTGATATGGGAAAGTATAGCTCTGCTGCATCATTTACAGGTGATGCTGAAGTAGAGATAAGTTGGGATCCTCCGCCAGAGCCAACTTGCTCTTCTGCTATAGACTGCAAAGATTGGCCTAATTCAAAATGCAGTACTACAGAATATGGAAAGAAAAAGTGTCTCTGTAATATGAGCTTTCAATGGGATGCCCTGAAATTGAACTGTACTAAAGGTAAGAATATTATAGTTGTAGTATGCATAACAAATTCATTTTCTGTATGCAAGTGAAAGAATTTATATATTCTTCTTCAATCTTGCAGAAGGTCATTACATTAAGCAAAGAAGTAACCATTACATAGGAAAGATTTCCTCTTCTTTGATCATTGCAGTAGCTTTCGCAAGTGTCATTGGTTTTGTTGTTCTCTCAAGCTCTATTATTTGTATATATTGGCAAAGAGGAAAGCTGGCTAGGTTACAAGGTAACTCTTAACTATACAATTGTTGTCAATTTTGTGACAGTAATAAACTTAAGGCCTAGAAATAGATTTAGAGGTTCTGCAATGGGACAAAATGCTATACTAAGTTATTTATGAATTCAGGAAACAGATTATCTCTGCAAAGACATCTAGGCCTTCACTTATATGGCAGTGAAAGACAAGTCCAGGGCATGATTGACTCGGATCGGTTCAACGAAGACGAGACAAAAGCAATAGATGTGCCATTTTTTAACTTGGAAAGAATATTAGCTGCTACAAACAAGTTCTCAAATGCAAACAAGCTAGGACAAGGTGGGTTTGGACCTGTTTACAAGGTAATAATATATATATACAAGTTCTCAAATGCAAACAAGCTAGGACAAGGTGGGTTTTTTGGACCTGTTTTTACAGTTAAATAATATATATATATATATATAATATATATATATATATATATATATATATATAATATAAAGATCATTCTTTTTCCATTTGTTCTTCGGAGGTCAGAAAAATCGATACATTTCAAATATATATATAAGATCATTCTTTTTCATTGTCTTCGAGGTCAGAAATCGATACATTTCATTTTTCAAATATTCTTCAATTAGGCTACATTTCCAGGAGGAGAAGAAATTGCTGTGAAAAGGCTTTCAAGCGGTTCTGGTCAAGGCTTAGAGGAATTTAAAAATGAAGTTGTTTTAATTGCTAAACTTCAGCATAGGAATCTTGTAAGGCTTTTAGGCTATTGTATTGAAGGAGATGAAAAGATGTTACTCTACGAATATATGCCTAACAAAAGCTTAGATTTCTTTATTTTTGGTTAGTTCTTTACACCTTTTTATTACATAGAAAGCAGCTCCAAACTCAATCTCAAACAGAGGATAGTGACTGATTTTATTATGTTCTTGAATGGAAATAAAAAACTTTGCAAGATCGAAAGCTTTCTAAGTCATTGGATTGGGGGATGCGATATAACATCATTGTGGGGATTGCTCGAGGGCTTCTTTACCTTCATCAGGATTCAAGGCTGAGGATCATTCACAGAGACTTGAAGACTAGTAACATTTTGTTAGATGAGGAGATGAACCCCAAAATTTCTGACTTTGGCCTGGCAAGGATTTTTGAAGGCAAAGAAACTGCTGCAAACACTAGCAGAGTTGTCGGAACTTAGTAAGTTCTATTTCACTTTTTGTATCATCCACGTTATGTTATAGTTTAATGAAATTAAGGATTTTTTTTGAACCATGTTATTTTTTACGATACACTTGGAAAAAAAGGATAAAATCAGAACTTGTTTTTTAAAGGAAGTCGGAACACTCTTTAAAGAATCATTAGTTTCATTAGTTTGGTACATAAGTGGAGCCATAAATCCAGTTTAGACAAGTAATTTCCGTGTATTTGAGTGTTAAGATTCTATAAAAATTTTATATTTTTTGTTATGCAGTGGGTACATAGCTCCTGAGTATGCCTTGGATGGTCTATTTTCATTCAAATCAGACGTGTTCAGCTTTGGGGTGGTGGTGCTTGAGATTATCAGTGGAAAACGGAACACTGGATTCTATCAATCTGAAAAATCTCTGAGTCTTCTTGGTTATGTGAGTTTGTTGACCTTTCAGAATTTGCACCTGTGCCTCTAGTTTGCTACTCTTAGTTTTAAGTGTTCAAAAGTTTTCCTCCGCACTGCTCGGTTTTTTTAATAAATAAGATCAAATCGGATCTGTAGTTGAGTCACAGTTAAATCAATCCGATTGATCAGTTCAGTTTTAAAAACATGGTTTAAAGAGAATGAGAGCCAATGAATTTTACACCCAATGTGAAGGGCATACAAACTCATATCTTTTTAGACCATATTTGATGGGGGTGACAACACTTGGGCAAAAATCGAAAAATTGAATTGGTTTGATTCAATTTTCAGTTTTCAATAGAGAGAATCAAATTTTTTCCAGTTCTCTTTTACTTTTATTACACCTAAAAATAAATCAAAATCAGTTTTATTCTGATTTTAGTAGTTAAAATCGAACCAAATTAAACTGGTTCAATTTAATTACACTATTCAATTTGATTTGATTTGATTTTCCTCTAAAAAATATTGAATCTATTCAGATGAGGGGTGTTTCACTTCAATTTGATTCAATATGACTTAGTTCATTGATTTTTCTTTTTTTTTTTTTTTTTTTTTTTTTTCATTGATTTTTTTTTCTTTTTTTTTTTTTTTTTTTTTTTTTTTGATACTTTTTTTTTTTTTTTTTTTTTTTTTTTTTTTTTGATACTAGATTTGTAATTTTATAAATTTTAAGAAACTTTCACAAATTTTGAAAATCCTCACTCCAAATGCATCCTTTATATAATTTTGAACTAAATGATCTTTCTTTTATAAATGACAGGCTTGGAATCTATGGAAAGATGAGAAAGCATTAGATTTCCTGGACCCAGTACTGAGGAAAACCTGGAATATAAATGAATTCTTGAAGTGCATGAACATTGGGCTTTTATGTGTACAAGAAGACCCTTTTGATCGTCCCACCATGTTAAATGTAGTGTTCATGCTTGGAAATGAAACAGCTACTCTTCCAACCCCTAAACAACCGGCTTTCATTGTTCGAAGATGTCCTTCCAGTAGCAGAGCTTCTTCATCTAGCAAGCCAGAGACCTGTTCTAATAATGGGTTAACAGTTACTTTAGAAGATGGCAGATAACACAGCTTCTAGTACAGGAAAATTGTCCACAGAGTTTCTCAAATATCCTAAAGGTTGAGAGACTTTTCTTATGAGGTTTCAAATTTGAATTTCCATCATTTTCAGTTTGATTTACACCTTTTGATTTCCCATTGGTGTACACTAATTATTTGTGGAATTATTTCAATGACAAGTACTGGCACCAATCTCCAGTCGCTAGTTCATTTCGTGATATCAAAGTGATAGAATCGGTATAAAAAATTATAACATATATCTATCTATCTACATCTTCTATATAAATATATAAAAATAGAGTCATGAAATTTAATTTGACATTCTCTTAAAATTTTAATGTAGGTTGAGGTGGTGTGAATTGAATTTTATAAATGTTATGATAATAGATGAGTGGAGGCTTTATAATTAAATATTTCAATATCCATTAATTATGATAATTGAATTTTTAGTTTATAATTTTAGAATTCCATGGATACTAAACTTTACCACTAAAGCTTTAAATACCACATAATTAGGATTTTCAGTTTATAATTTGAGAATTTAAAAGGTTGTGAACTTTAAATGGATATAAATTTATATTCATGTGCAAATTCGCTCAAGAAAAATTATAGGACAAGAATATTTAATGTTGATCTTTTCAAAGAAAAAAAATCCGAAAAGCATTATAATATTGTTGAAGAGCTTTTTCCAATATACCACAATTATTACAGTTCAGCAACTAATAATACTGTATCCAATTTTTCTTTTCTTGCTTCATCTTTTTGTAGATAGTTTTATTGAATCTTTTGATCTTTTTTAATATTTAACTACTATAATAAGGGCGTAAGTAATTTTGAATGATGTTTAATTATTTGTGGACATTCCTCACTTCCTTCACAAGACTCATATTTGGATATTTTAATTTATTTACTAACTGTGGTTCTAGATATCATATATTTTCCTGAAATTAATTAAGAATTGCTCTAACACATTCATATAATTTATGTGTTTTAAATGTTTTTAGACTTGTCATTTATAAGATGTGATTATGTAAACACTTTACAAGAATTTTCTGAAAAAATTTCCATATAAGATAATAAAAAAAAAAAATACAAATTTGCATAAACCGGCATTCACGGGTACATGATTAATTTAAGTAATAATAAAGCTAAATAATAGAGGTATTTATATACTATTATATATAATAATATCCAAAAGTTTATTCAATATTAATGTTTTAAAGTTGGTGTTTTGATTTGATTTGATTTAAACTTACAACAACCTAATCCAACTAAATCAAATATAGATATACACACAAGTAGCATTAACCAAATTACTTCCCTTTCTAATAAGTTATGTATTAAGTTAAATAATTTAATTTCTCACATTCAAAATTTTATGTATGTCTTATACATACTAATAAGTTAATTAATATTTTTCTTTCCATTCAGATCGAATTTATTAATATTTTTCTTTTTAATAACAAGTACTTTTGATGGTGCCCTCATACAAGTGAAGCAACAACAGCAGTATTCAACTCTTTCATCGTCTCTCTTCCAACAAGGCATTGAACTTTGTTTCTAATTGGGTATTTTTCTCATTAAGCCTTCTTATTGATCTCTTGGTACTTTAATTATGATTTCTTTTATAATTTTTTATTTTAATTCTCGCAAAACAATAAACTTGATTAGAGTATTTAGGATTGTTTTTAGTTTTAGTATTTTAACTATTTAATTAGTTTAAAATTTTCACTTGTTCATCTTTGAGTGACAATCTTGGTTAGCTTACTCAATATTGTAATAGTCACCAATACTTATAAGTATGGTCCTAAAAAATATTAATCAATTTTGATTATTTAGTGATGATAATAAATTTTAAAATATTAATGAGATAATTTTCCTTTTCTCTTTTAGAATCTGCTTCAATAATTTCTGAATTTATTTAAAAAATTGTTTTTATATAATTGCATAATTTAAATGCATGAAATCAATAGCTTATAAAAAAACACATTTGATGTAGGGTTGTTAAAATAGCCTATGTCTAAGGGAAGGGGGGTAACCCACTAGCAACTGCTGTGCCATGGTACCAAACTTCCTTTGCAGCGGCTTTCCAGAGTCTAGATTTGATCTTAACAAACAAGATCTAGTGCATAAACCCATCTTGATGTAGAGGATGGACCCAATCTCCCTTGTATTAAGCCCCCTCCATAGAAAATTTCTATCAAAAATTTCCTTGAGTGGTTGCCCCAAACTGAGAAACTAAGAAGCTCAGAAGACCCTAAGTACAAACCAAAACAAGACCAGATCGATGGATCTTTCTTGAGAAAGAACGCAAATACATATAGGGGAGAAGACTTATAAAGGGTAGTAAAACAAAAGAGAAAAGAGGAGTACAGAAAGAGTTTTGTGAAAATACTCTCATTCTCTCTAAAAGAAAACACTCCTCCGTCTCTTAAAAGTTTAAAGCTTTTCTTCTTTTCTTTTGGGTGGCTGCCGGTGACAGATCTTTATTCGGTGGCAACCCCTCTTTTCTTTTTCTTTTCGCTCTTCCATATAACAATAGATAAGTAACTCTTTCTCATCCATGCATGAACCTAAAGATTCGAATTTGCATGGGGATAAGTAATGACATTATAAAAAAAAAAAAAAAAAAAAAAAAACTGATGAAAACTTAAGAGCTCTCAAGAAGACGCTATTGACTATAAGTACATTAACCATAATACAAGGGAACCTAAGATCTATTAGAATGGATCATATCTTGAGAAATGAACGCAAATACAGTATAGGGTGAGAAAGTAAACCTTAATAAAAGGTGTAAAACAAAAAGAGTATAAAAAGAGGAGTACACTGAAAGAGTTTTTTAGTTGAAATTTAATACTACTCATTGCTCTTCTTTATAAAGAAAAAACTTATCTCATTCTCGTCTACCTTTATAAATGTTTAAAAGCTTTTCTCTTCTTTTAACTCTTTAGGGTATGGAGCCGGGTGACAAGAATCTCTCTATTTCGGCTTGGCAAACCTCCGTCCTGTGTCTTGTTTACAATTTTTTTGCCGCTACTTAATCCTCATAGTTTAACTTATGATAGATATTTATTGTTTAACTACTTATCTTCACTAATGCCGATGACACATGAACCTAAATGATTTCGATAATTCTAAGACATGAAAGTGTCGTTATAGGTATAAAATGGATGGCATTTTATAAAATAAAATAACAAACCAAGAAAAAAAACGCTGGTCATACTTCAGCTCAAGTGCAGGACTAAGGCAACTAGCTCCATTGATCAGGCTCCATGTGTTTCAATAAAAAAAAAAAAAAAAAAAAAAAAAAAAAATCATAAAAAAAAAAAAAAAAAAAAAAAAAAAAAATCATGTTATCATGCCTAGGGAAGACAGTCAGTTCAACTTAGAGAATATTACGGCTTATGCTCATAACTCCATTAAAACCTATAGATCAGCATTTGTAGTTTATTAATCGAACCTAAAGATTTGATACTTATGGGAGACTTCTATTATCAAATGATAATAGAATTTGCTAAGCATGGCCCAGACCTAAAAACAAAATAAAGAGGCATGACCTAGCCTAAGATTGAGTTATTATGAAATCACATCTCAATATCTTCTTAAGCTATGTGGCAAGTCCTATCCTACAATCCAAGAACTATGCTAGAAAGTCAAATACTAAAAAAATGCTAACTACTAGAACTCCTAATCAACAACCTGTAGACACTCAATTTTTACAATTAAAAGGCTCAGTAATGATAATATTTTTTGACATAAAATCGAATCGGGACATCTGATTGCTCTGATTCTCAGACCGATGATTCGCGGTTAAGAGAATTTAGCCATTTGACCATTTTTACTTTTTCGAGTTTCCAAGCGTTTCATATTGAAACCGGGCCCGAAAAGCACTTTTGGTCCACTCAGCACACTTTTCAGTCACCACCTTGTTTTACATGCCACCCGGTCTTATTTTGAGGCCCACTAGTGACACTTGCCACCTAAGCCCTAAAGTAGGGCAACATCCCCCATTTGCCTATAAATAGGGCATTGGGAAATGTGCAAAGGAGGTCTTTTGGTTGCTTAAATGGAAACTATACTATTTTGAAAACTCAAACTTTTAATCTAAGGAAAACTTGTATTTCCACTTAGATTGGAGGTTTATATTTAATCATTTAGGAGAAACCCCTTGACCTAGTGATTAAAAGACCTAAAACACTCAAATTAAACTTACCTTGGATTTGTTGATTCAAGATTAAAGCTTTTGGGTTTTTGATTCATTTTTCCCAAAATCTTTGGATTTCTCCTAGCAAAGGTAACCCCTAAGAGCCTTTAACCTTTTCCCCGTCTTTTTCTTTTATTTTGGTGTATTAAGCACCTTCTTAATACTGGTTGGAAGAGAAATCAATGAAAAACCAGGAAGCTTCTGACCGTGTCAGAAGTGGCGCATGCCACTAAGTAGGGGCTCCATGCCACTACGTGTGGCGTTTTTTCTCCAGTCAGAATGCTCTAAAACCAGGTTCGGCATCTTCTAATCAGGGCAAGGTGTGCGCGCCACACGTAATGGCACACTCCACTTCCCTAGTGATGCATGAACCTTCATTTTAGAGGTCCAGAATGCAGAAATCAATAAAATGATCCCGAATCGGAGTTCAATTGAGTCAAGCACGGGACTTTCTTATTCTGGATCACGATAACGACTCATCATGGACTAAATAAATACGAAATCAATAAGAAACGGGTAGTGACAAGTGTATTTGTTCATCAACCATGATGAATATCAAGGCTTTGAACCAAATCTTGTTCAAATCTTTAAATTCTTGCTTTTAGTTTATTGTCCTTTATTTTTACGCATATTTTTTATTACTGTCCTTTATCTTTAAGCCTTTTATTCATTATCCTTTAATTATTGTTGGGCTAATCCACTAGATAATGGTTTATGAACATGAACATTCATCATCTCATTATTTTGAATGAATGTATATTTATTTGATTCTGTGGATCTTAGTTTTGTTCTGTGATTGTTACTCCTTATGCAAGTCGTTTATTATTTTTGTTATTAAGCTTTATGTAAGGGTCCATAATTCCATTAACTATTTGTATGTAATAATTAGTATGTTTGGGAAACTCTAATGGGTTAAATGGATAGAATGTATTTTAGGAAGAAGTTGTAATTCTTTTCCCCTCCCTTTTTTTTTGGATGATTAACTTTATGCTATATGTATGAAATTATATACTTGT